AAATTCTAGACTTATTCCACACTCTCTCTTCCTTTTTCTCTTTCACTTGGCTCTAACTCTCGGGGCGTGATTCACAATGGATAAATTATATATATATATATATATGTGTGTGTGTGTGTGTGTGTGTGTGTGTGTGTGTGTGTGTGTGTGTGTGTGTGTGTGTGTGTGATATGTCAGTAAATAAGAATTATGTGTTGGGTATGTAAATCTGCCAATGATTTAACATGTTATGGATGTATGAAAGAATCATATAACTAGATTTGGAGGGAATGTTGCATCCGAACTTTAGACGCAAATTTGTATCTTGGGCTCAGTGAAAACTCGCCACGTGACAAGTGTCTCCCACTATAGTATATTGATTATGGGTGATTTTAAAAATATATAGGGCTCACTTGCCACATGTCAAGCTTTAACTTGACTCTGGAAGCAAATTTACGTCCGTAGTCAAAAAACAAAAAATTTTACTAGATTTGAGAGAATGATGAAGGAAGAGAGAGAGAGAGAGAGGGAAAAATTTTCTGTTCGGACTCCAGATGTTGCTCTATGTGTAGACTCCAATAATATGCCGCCACGTGTGCTAAATCGCGGAAGTTATTAAGAAATTATTGAAGTGAAATTGCGAAGGTTATTAGCTGATTATTAGGGGTTTATTGTGGTGGCTAATTTAGGAGGTTATTGAAGTAGAGCCACATAGTTATTGCGGGTTATTGAAGTAGAACCACATGGTTATTGCGGGTTATTGTGGAGGTTATTTCAGGAAGTTATTGAAGTGAAACCGTAAAGGTTATTGGGGTTATTGCGGAGTTTATAGCAGGGGTTATTGGAGTGGAACCACAGAGGTTATTGAGATTATTTAGAGGTTATTATGATGTTATTAGAGTTAATATCCCAAATACTCCCAATAACTCCTTGATAAATTTCTAATAACCTCTCAAAACTCTCCAAATAATATCTATAGTTTCAGTCTAACAAACTGGATTCTAATAACCATGTGGTTGCACGTTAATATTGAGTCCGGACAGAAGATTTTTCCGCAACCGAGGGAGGAGGGAGATGACGAGTGAGATCGCACTTAGCCACTGTTGGGCTGGCGCCGAGAGATAGAGAGATGACCAGTGTGGTAGTGCTCGACAATGGCGGCGGCCTTATCAAGGCCGGCTTCGGAGGTGACCGCGACCCTGCAGTAGTCGTCCCTAACTGCCTCGGCCGCCCCGCTTCAACCAAGAAATGGCTTGTCGCCGATCAACTTCTCGCCAACGACTCCGATATCACTTCCGTTTCTCTCCGTCGACCCTTCGACCGCGGCTATCTCATCAACCCTGATCTGCAGAAGGAGATCTGGGATCGTGTAGTGCGCACTCTTCTCCGCGCCGACCCCTCCACCTCCTCGCTTCTTCTCGTTGAGCCCCTCTTCAACCCCCCTTCCATTCAACGCGCCACCGATGAGGTCGTCTTCGAGGACTTGGGCTTTCAATCTCTCTTCGTAGCCGACTCCCCCTCTCTCGTGCATCTCTATGAAGCAAGCCAACGGCCGGTGGATGGGTTGGCGGCGACGGCGCAGTGCAGTTTGGTTGTTGATTGTGGCTTCTCCTTTACCCACGCTGCTCCGGTGGTGCAAAATTTTACCTTGAACTATGGTGTGAGGCGGCTGGACCTCGGAGGCAAGGCACTCACGAATTACCTCAAGGAGCTCGTCTCCTATCGTTCTATCAATCTTATGGATGAAACCCTAATCATAGACGACGCCAAGGAGAAGCTCTGCTTTGTATCCCTTGACGTCTTAAACGACCTCCAACTTGCCAGGTAAGACGTTGGTGTTCATTTGTGTCTGGATGCTATTCTTGTTGACCAATTACTTATCTTAGTTCGGGGAACTTCATTTATTTTCCATTTTGTTCTTAGGAAATTATAAAATTGTGAGCTTTTGGTAATCGATTAATGAAATTGCCCCATTTGGGAAGATATTTGCATTCTAGTTTCTGGGTCGTAAGCATTGAGTTGATATGTTGTTTTGCATTTTGTGCCCATCATCCGTCTTTTTTTGTGTTCATAGCTTGCTTATGTGACTATTTCCTGTTTAATCTTATTAAGGAAATCAGGGAAGGACAATCCTTTCAGATGCACTTATGTTCTCCCCGATGGCATCACACATACTAGGGGTTTTGTTAAAGATCTTGATGAAGCACACAAATTCCTCTCGCTATCTAATGGATCCTCTACTACGTTAGGAATGCAGGTAGAGGATAGTCAAGCGCATACAGAGAAAACAGAGGATAGGAAGAGAATGGACATGAATAAAAGTGTAGGACACAAACTTGTTTATCACAAAAAAGGACAGTTTTCTGATTAGAAAAAAAAATTGACACAGTTCTCTTTGATGCAGGAATTCAGCCTTACAAATGAACGCTTTCTTGTTCCTGAGATGATCTTCTGTCCAGCTGATTTGGGTTAGTTCTGATGATGAATTCTAGATAAACGTTTGATGACCTGTCACAAAAAATAATGTGCATTATAAAAGTAATTTTTTTACTGTTATTGACATGCGAAGTTATGGAAAAATGCAATCTACTACTCATTAGGTTATAAGAGTGTTAAGATGGGGGTGGGGATGGGCAATGTTGGATCAATTACACTAGTGGTCAAATCTATTTGCAGTTAAAAAGTTTAACTTCATGGATGAGAGTCAACTCTTCGATATTTCTATGCCAATATATTTTTCACATAATCAATCTCGCTAGTTGCAGTCGGTGTACACAAATGTCGTCTTCAGAGCTTCACAACCAAAGAACTCAAGTTTATGACCTACACCTATCAACATCAACCTTGAAGTTAGTTATAGATCTCTATACTAATCTTTGTTCAAAACTTGTGGATGAATGTTTATCTACTGCTTGCTCCTATCCTCATCTTTCTGGCTATATGAATACTTGGTCCTTGAAGATGAAACTTGATGGCCAAGAGGCCGGGTCCTATTCCCTTCTCCATTCCATCCATAAATTTGATAGTTTGGTAATTAAATTGGTTGAGGGAAGTCGATAAATCCAGAAATGTGATAACAACTCAAATGAACGAGCTGTTGAGATTTGAGGGGCTTGAAAGTACTAATAGATTTTAAAAAAATTCTTAAAATTTAGGAGAAATTTGAAGGGCTTGGATTTAGGAGCAAACTTTGATCATATTACCTAGATAATTATAGGTAATTTAAACTTCACAACTTATTAGTTTCTCTTTTAGAGATTAGGATTTTGATGTACTTTTTTGGGAGAACCATTTTGATGTGACACCCTCTCTCAATCTTCAATGGAGGTTGCGGACATATTGCAATATCTTAGATTACTAACTGAAAATCTATAAAATTCAGCTATCACACATCTTACTTTTCTTTTGTGTTTTCCTTGATCCTGAAACATTTCTTGTTTTGCAATGCCTCTTGTTCTTTGATAGCTCCGACTCGGCTAGGTATCTATTATGCATTGCTTATTGAGGTTTATTAGCATTTGTTACCAACAAGCAATAAAGGGAGGGTGCTATCTTTGCGTAGGCTTAGTCATTTGTTGAGATCTTCTTATTCATATTCTCGTCTTTTTAATTTTTTGCAATATCTGTCTCTTATTCACTTATTTCCACATTGCATCAGATATCTCAACATGCTCTACATATTCGTATGTGCAATCTTTTTGAATTGCTATATTTTTTCATTTTCATAATTCATTAAAAGTAAAATTTCTATTTCTGATGGTCTTTCCAATTTTATCTACCCAAAATTGATAATCTAGGTTATTCATTCCTTTTTGAATGAAGTAATTCTCAAAAGAGTTTACATATGCCTACGAATGACATTCAAAAATCTTTAAAGGAGAAAGGTCTCTTTGCTAGTCCACACATCTTCAAGTAGCTTATATCCCAGAAGTCTAGAAGCTCTTCTATTGCTCAGTAAAGCCACATCACTTATCGCATCAACTCAAAAAACTTGACGTGCAACCTTTTTGATTTTGCTCTTTAATTTTGATTGTTGTTCGTGTGCTCAGTAATCTGTTAAGTCTATGCCTAGTCTATGGGGAAGTTCGCCTTTTGTATACCTAAGGACAATTTAATCTTTTATTATCATTATTGTTAAATATAAATATGCTTATTATGTTTAGGGTTATGTTTATGCATGTTTTTATTTGACTGCCGTTTCTTTCTTTATGTGGTGTTCCTAGCGACATCTAGGGTTGCGGGAGGGTCGATCTACCTCTCGAAAAGTAGATCCGAAAAGTAGGTCACCATTTTTTCTTGCCGATTTGCTTTTTTTTTTTTTTGATAATAGCAGCCCTCGTTTGAGTTTTCCATCTATCTCTTGCTATTTTATTGTGATTTTTCTACTTTGTTTTGGGTCTGGAGCATATCAAACCGGTATCAGAGCAAGATTTCTGGAAAACAACGTTTGGGGTCCGAAGACTGGGTGATAGTTGCAATTTTATTTGGGAAGGATTGTACCATGGGAAAGGATCACGGAATACAGAAGATTCAGTGACATCATTTTGTGAAACCGTCATGATTGGAGGGAATAATCGCGACAAACCAAGACCTAAAACTCACCATTTCTTTTGATCGCAGCCCACAGGACTCTCCTTCGTGACCATACCCTACGATACAATCGCGATCAGACCTAGCTGGGAAGGCAACGGTTGGGAAGCGGCCCCCAGAAACCCGACACTCACCTCTTTTCGCTCTGTATTCGCATGAAGCAGTTGCCATTAGGGCTACTACGGGATCACGACTCACGGTGATGAGCCACGCTTTTCTCCCCGTGATCGTAGCTCACGGGGAAGGCGATAGAGGGTATCACAACTTTTCTCCCCGTGATTGTAGCTTGTGGAGAATTCAATAGAGGGGATCACAACTTACTGATTCACGTCTTTCTTTTCATGTGGGGATCACAAATTCTTTGAACTACCTGTTGTTTTAATGTTGTTCATTATATGATCTCAAGTACTTTATTTTTACACCATATTTATTCTCCACTAAATGTTTCCAGCTTTTGGTCCATGCTTCTAGATGATGTCATTAATAAAGATGTTGTATTGTGATGTGCTATCAAAGGATGCCACTAGTGATGATCCTTAAATATTGATATGTGCTTAGCTCTAGCTTTTGTGTTTTGGATTCTGTTACGAGGGCACTTAGCCTTAGGGCAAATTTGTCTTTTATACATCTAATGGCAATTAAGTCGTGTATTATTATTATTGTTGGGTATAAATAGATTTATTATGTTCAGGGTTGGTTTTTATGCATGAGATTGAGTTGTGAGCCTTAGGTTTAGGTCTTGAGAAAGACTTCCTACCTCTCAAATTGTAGGAACTGGGAGAGATTGCCTACCTCTCGAATTGTAGGTGTTTATCCTTTGCATTTGTGTGAGTTGTTTGAATTATTGAAGAAAATATTCGTGTTTGTCCTAACTTCGGTAAAATTTCGAGTCGATTTCGACGTCAGATCATATCAGATTCCCCTATGATCATTGGATCCATAATTAACCCGACAACGCGATATAGTTATATTATGATATCAAATTTTCTTAGTAGTAATATTGCAGAATATTGTGGAACTGGTAGCCTTTTTGCAGGGTATTTTAGAGGTTTGCAAAAATCTAGGTTTTTAGGAGATAAAATCTGGTTGATGGTAAGTTGATCAAGGAAAAGAGCAGTACCATGAAATTGATCATTTAAAATCCAAGTACCATGAAATTGATCATTTAAAATCCAAGTTGATTTGCCTTTTTTAATCCTCCATTTCCCTTGTTTTCATTTTTTATGGTATACTGATTTAGCTTTAAACAGTTAGCAGTTCCATTGTTATTAACAAAATAGCGATCTATCCAACAATTGACTTAATTGCTTTAACCAGCAGCTGTAACTACATAATTGTTGAAAGATGCTCTTTCCATCCCTTTTGGCTTGGGAAACGAAGGTAGAGGTGGCTTGAGTTGCTTCTAGGAGCATGCGATTGATGGATTTGAAAGGATAGAGGGAGAGATAGGAGAGCAACCATTTATTTGACTTTCAAAAGTTTAGTTATAAGTTATTTGTATAACCATTTAATTTCCTAATAAAGGAATTAGAAACTTTCAATAAAATTTAAATTAAATCCAAAAATATACAAGTATGTGATCAATAATATCTGTCAAGATAAGTTATTTGATAGATAAGTTCTTATCCACATTTTTTTTATAATTAAAATGATATTATTTAGACAAATAGCTAAAATTCTTTGAAATATCTCATATTAGTTGTACGTCATGGAGGGGGTGACTTACGAGTTCAAATTGATACTTCTTAATTTTGTTGAGTCCTTTATAACCTTTTCTCTTCCATCTTCTTTGGGCTGAATTCTCCAAGTTAGTTTTGACTTATCCGAAATCTCTATAAATAGTAAACTTAAAAGCTGAAAGTCTACATTTAGTGGCTTGAATTGTGGAGTTAGTTTTGCTTATTTTAATCCTAAAAGAAAGTTTTAACTTGTAGCTTCTTTGCTATTTTGTCTAAAAATCATGAATATACTTTTTATTTCGTATTCATTTAGTATAAGAAATTTCTACCTTTTTTAATTTTTATTTTTATTTTTAATTTTTTTTTAGATTCCACCTTGGTACTAGTGCCTATTTTAAACTTTTATGAAACTTATTGCCCTTAATTTTGCATGGCTAAACTCCAGTTTCATTTTCTTACTTTATTTAGTCTTAGTTTGGTTGAATTAGAGTTTAGGAGTCTCCTAAATTACGACTCCCCATTTAAATTCGCCTGCCTTTACAAATGACCATCAATTAAGATGATATAATTTATGGTCGATCCTAGAAGGTTGTACTTAACTCAAAAAATATTTTATTAGGCTATGTTGTCTGTTGGTGATATAACTAACACATGAAATGTTGTCAGATCAATTGATATACCCAAACCGTGTAGTAAGCTCTGTTGTTGTAGAATATTCATTGGTTGCTATAGCCATTTTTAATGATAAATGTGCCCCAAACTTCTCAAGTAGCCATCGCCATGGTGCGCTTGACATATAGTAGCCGACCAATGAGGCTTTGTCCACCTAAATTGAAATTGAGGTTGTTCTCATCCTCTATTTGATGTGGGTGGCACATTGTGACAATTTACGGCTTATTTTGAATGGTAGTTATTGTTATCATTCCTCATTACCTTATGAGATTCTTGAGTTCAAAGTCTTCTTGCACTTTGGCTTTGTATCTATATCTTTGCACATGCACATTTGGATCAGTAAAAAAATTCATATTGACAATTATCTCCTTATTATACCTTCTTAATTGCATCTATTGTAGTTTTTTGTTAGCTCTTCTACTTTTCATTTATAATTCCCATGATATGAAATATAGTGGGGATTGCACTTTGATATTATTCTTACCCGCAATCATCCTGACTCTGCAATACGATTGTATTAGGATATT